TGTGAGTTGAAGCTCGGGTCCAGCGGGCCCTCCCCCTCCACACAGCGACAGCCAGCCTGGAGAACACAGGCGTACATTTCCACTCTAGACTGAGACAGCAGCTGGTCTCCTGTCAGGTAGGTGTTGTGTGACGTAGCAATGAAGTAGTTACACAGAGGCTGCGTCATGTCCTGATTCACCTGATTGTGTTCAGGGTTGAAGATATCACCTGCAGGACTCCGCATGTAATTGGTAAAACCTTAAGGAATAAAGGTTCAGACCAGGTGTTTTAATTGTATGTCAATGTCCTGTCTGGTCCTAGTGACACAGGTGATGTTAGCGGTGTTTCTCAGCGATCATACTGTATGTCTTATTAAATATGCTGTCATAAGAAAGCTCCCCATACCATCAATACCCAGCACCATACGCTGCAGGTTCTCAGGACATGGCTCAGACTTGACCACTATGTCAACCAGATGTTCTCTGGTTAGGCCTTGCATCTGTAAATAAAACAGCATCAGGAAAGTCATTTTTTGAATTAACTGATCCAATCCTGATTCTTTTTACCAGGTTTGTTGTACCTTCTGTTCATTCTCCAGAAAGCATGCAAGGTCGTGAAGGTCCATGACTTCTTTCTGATTGCTGTAGGAGATCATTATCAGGTAGAGGTCTCTGCGTGTGGAAATCATCTTATAGAATGAACAGAATTCTTCGAAGCCCAGAGAGCCCTGGTTCTCATCTGTGTCTGCTTCCTACAGATAATGACAAAAGTATTTTATGAGCCAGAGATAATTCACTCACTCTGTGTGATTTTAGATAACCACCCTGCCAGAGAAAATACTGTATGTGCCTCCTTGCGAGAGATATACGTCTACCGTAGTCAAAAGTGATTGAGCCTGTTCACAAGGAGTCCTCATCAGCAGGGAAGGACAGTGAGTTACTGAACTAAAGTCAAAGTGCAGTGCAACTAAAACCATCTGTTAGGCAGCAGCCATATGGCCTTCCTGTGGCTCTCCTCTGCCCTGTCCTGCCAAAATACTCTTTATGATCTCTATACTTGTCTGCTGGCCTCATCTGCATCCTTATGTCTTACTGATTCTCTGACAAATGTGATGTAAAGATCACATAAAGAACAGGCCTAAGGAAGCATCAAGGATTTCCCACGTTTAACCTTTTTCACAAAAAACAACAACCCTTTTTTCACTATTTCAAATGCCTTCGTATTTATTTTTTTCATCCAGGTTCTTTCTGTTGTCAGTTTGTACTCTGAGGAAGACTACAAGGCCAAAACATCAGTGCATTATTAAATAATTTAATTATCCAGTCTACAAATCATGTGTTAATCCTCTCCTGCTGATGCGCTCTGTTTTCTCAGATTTAAAATCATCCTGTATGCCATGCTTTGCTATATACAAACCTATTTGTTTTCAGCCAGGGTAGCAATGCGCACGTCTCTGTAAATGCCGCTGCCGGCCTACTTGTTGGTTCGTCCCTTCAGTCTCGACAGAAATATTTCAACTATTAGATGGATTGCCATGAAATTTTGTGTATATTCATTTATTTATTATTCCAATAAGATGAAACCCTTTCAACTTTGACAATTGCAGTTGATTGACCATGCATTAGACACCAACATTGTCACAGTAAGCATGTTAGTAAGCTGACAATAGCATTTCACACATAGCACAATTGTTGCTAAATATAGCCTTAGAGAGCTGGCAGAATGGCTGTTGACGCCTAGTCTTGTTAATTTATTTTTCAACTAACATACATTACTTGAGTAGAGCCATTAAGTCAGCAGTTTTTCTAGTTAGTGTTTGCAGTTTTTATCACTACTACAGTGTATTAATGATACTAGATTATGAAATATACAAGATCCCAGAAGTAGCTTTGATGGCGTGTCATGTATATGAAATTTATGGCAGCTTTCACGACACCTTTGTGGAAGTGAGCCTTACTTGAAACATCTGCCTCACTTTCTGCTTGGGTAAATTTACATTGAATTTGTGGAGCAGCTGGTGAAGCTCTCGCATGCTTAAGGTGCCATCTCCATTTTTGTCAGCATCAGAGAACGTTTGCTGTAACCATGTAAGGCTGCAGTTAAGGAGGAAACTAAAAGGATCATGATCAGGTCCTGTCAGAGTATTTTCTTGTGTATGTGTACTATCACCTTTAGGCAAAATCATCAGGTGAATGTGAAGTGATATGTTTGTAATAGCTACGTCATTTGGAGACTGAACAAAGGATATTGATCACGGGTGCGTTGCCTCCGGGCCAAACTGTCTTCATCACTGATACCAGCCATAAGGTATTTCAGTCCAGTAATCCAGGTGCGTGCCTCCTCTGCATTGGTGGAGACCAGGTCCAGGCACTTTACATGCTCCCCGTGGTAAATGCTGAAGCAGCAGTTTGGGTCAAAGCAGGCGTCTGCGTAACGCCTGAAGAGCTCTGACTTTTTCCCCTCACAGACTTCATGGATGGAATCAATAGTTACTGAAACAGATGATCAAAACAACTTATGATGATTCAGAGATTTCTGCCATTTTAAACTGTTTGTATCAGTGGTTCCAGTGACTGTCTATAAACTCAATTTGTACTGAACTACCTGAGAAAATTTCTTCATTTATTTCAGATTGCCTTTATTATTTGTAAACCCTTTCGGTCCCTTTTAGATTCAAGTACGTATAAATTGCTGATTTTATTTTTCTGGCTAACACAGCTGCTTGAATATCATGAAATATTTAATGTGAAGATTTGCCTTCAAACAGTATGATGAATAAACACATTTTAGGAAGGCCTAGAAAAATGCTGAGATAAAATACATTTTACAGTAATTTTATTTATTTATTTCTCAATTTATTATAATCCAATCAGTGAAAATCTTCATAACCAATAAATAAAACAGGCAGGTATAGTGAATTTTCTACAGCATCTTTCCCATTAAGTATAAACTAAATCTTTATATGCAGATATTGCTTTTACAACCATATCAATATAAAAAGTGGGGTTACTACCAAGTGTGATTTTGCTCAGAAGAACCAGAGATACTGATATGTCAACAATAAGTTAATGAGTAAGTCTCACCTAAACAGGGCTGGAAGTAAGCTTTCTGTAGCCCTGCTGAGAGGAGGCTCATTTTATTCTTCTCCCATCCTTTGATAGATCTATTTTATCTATTATTGATGGTGATTTTATAATAATTACTCTCTTGCCATGTGATCAGTGCTGTAAAATCAGGTTTTGATGGTTACATAAAAACCATCCGCATGAGAAGAAGCTGGTAATTATACTGTACATTCAGTTCTATAAATTCCAAGTGGTGATGGCTCACTTTTTGCCTTGTCATGTTTTTTGGAGGGCCGCCACCGAATGCAGGACTTGTGTTCATCCAGGTAAAAGAAACGGACCAGCCCATTCTTCTTCCCCTTTAGTTTGGTCATCTGAGTGCCGGCCTGCATGGTGCACATGCACCTCTCCACTACAGGAGAGCACACAGAAACACATTATTTACCAAGGATCAAGAAGGTGTCCCTTTTTTTTTTTAGTCAAGCTTGAAATCCGCTGGGATAATAACATTGTCATTTATTTGCTACAATCATCAGAGGAGTCGATTCAGCCCATGTTTCTTACATCACTCACATGAAATGACAAATGCCGGTGCCATTTTATGAGTGATTTAGTCAGACGTGTCTTATGAATATGACAATTTTTGTTGAGATAGTATATTAGTACATGTGTCGTGATTTTGTTCAGGAAGACATTATGACAACCCTAGAGGGATCCCTGAAGCAGCCAAGACAAGTAGCAGTTTACCATCTTGCTTATGAGATTATAGCCTGCGTCACACTGGGATTTAAGCAGCTGTATACTGTATGTGTTAATAATAAAAAAGCACAAGATGGAAAAGAACCCTCTAAATTAACATTGTCTATAAAACAAATCCCTCAAATCTTAATTGCATTCTAGTGATGTAAACTGCTTCCCCTAGCACAGCTTTACTGTAACATTCAGGTCATTCTTCTTAATTGTGAAGTAGTGTGGTTGGTTTATGTGCGGCGAGCAGGTTTGTAATCTGAAGCTCAGATACATGTGATGCAGCCTGGCACATTATTCAGGCTAATCCTAAAGGATTGTCTACTGTCCATATGCCCATTATCTACTCACAGATCTCAGTGCTTCTCTGCTCTGTTATATATTGAACTCACATATTTCAGAGGCCAACTGCAATAAAATAGAATTATTAAAGCTTTTAAATTACAGGTCCATGTATCACATTAATGCCATATGTGTCTTGGAAGAGTGTTTTAAAGCAAATGTATTAAATGAGCAATCAGTAAGTCTTACCAAACTGACCCAGTCTCCATTTAGGCTGTGCAACCATGCTACCACCAATCCAGAAAAACTCCTCTGCAAGTCTGGAGATGGATGCCTTCTGCCAGCGTTTTGGAGAGCTCATAATGGATGGGGTGGGCGAATTCAAGGGGTTCAAGCTCTGTTTCACCTGTTGAGAGGAGTCCTTAACTGGTGAGGAGGAGAGCATCCCTGATGACAACGATCCCACAGTGTGAAAGGTGGAATTCTTAGGAGACAGAGAGGAAAAGGGTGGGCTGCTATTCAGCCCTGGCGACGGAGGTGCCATTGTTGTGATGATGTTCATCCCTGAACTGGACATTTGGGTCCAACTTTCCTGTCCCATTCATACCACATGAACTCACCTTCCTCCTCACCCTATTGGGCTCTTCTGTGACTTTAGATCACGGTTTCTCTCATGCAGCTTGCAAAATGTCAGCATGTCCTCTTTTTCCAGTTCAAGTCTTCCCACATGCAATCAGGGGACAATCTTCCTATCCTGAAGGTTCATTTCTCATCATCCTGTGTCCTGTGATCCAGTGTGGCAGCCATAGAGTCTTCTTAAATTTATTTATTTTTTTGCATTGAGAGAAGGCTTGCAGGGAAGAAATGTGCACCATGTGTTGGTCACTAAATCTTCCTCACGCTGTAATCCTGGGGTGAGGCTTCAGCCTTGCTTTTATGAAGGGATTCTCTTGCAACGACTAAGCCTCTGAAGAAAAAGAGAAGGATAGGAAGGGTTTGCATATTAATTGAACTGCACTTATGGCAGTCCGAGTCATTACAGAATATAGAAAGACTTTTTAGACTCAATAAACTGTTAGGATAGGCACTATTAGGATTTAAAGTTGGACTCACTTGTGCATTTAACTATTAAGCTGGAAGGATATACTCTTCAGCTGTGTGTTATGATTTCCCCCTAGAGGCAACTGTGTGACATACAGTACATGTATACAAAGATGGGTGACATACAGTATAAGACTGTTTAGTAAAGTGTTTCCAGAACAACTTCAGTGTTCCTCTGTTGGGAAGAACAAAATTTCTCTCCCTATGTGTGTGTGTGTATGTGTGTGTATATATATATGTATATATATATATATATATATATATGCTGTCAATCGATTAAAATATTTAATTGTGATTAATCACATTATTGACTTTAGCTAACTCACAATTAATTGCAAATAATCACACATTTTTCAATTTGATCTGAACAGTGGTGGAAAGTAACAAGTACATTTATTCTTAAAATTTCAAGGTACCTGTACTGTATTTTTGCTTTCTATTACTCCATATTTTGACTTCACTACATTTTAGAGAAAAATATTGTAGTTTTTACTCCACTACATTTATTTTATAAGTTTAGTTACTTTTCATGATGAGATTAATAAAAAAAAAAAAATAATACAGTATAATTATAAAACTTCATTGATCTGCTTGTGGAAAATTCACAAGCTGCCCAGCAGTATTTCAAATTAAATGCATATAGAGTAATTAAAACTAGTTCCCCTTTACCACCTGCAACATTAAATGTGATGTACACAATAATGCATCAATAATTATAATACAATAATATGATATACAAGAATGTGAAATGTGCCATTTTGTATAATCAGTATTTTTACTTTTAGCACTTTAAGTATGTTTTGGTGCAAACACTTTTACTTAAGTAACATTTTGAAAGCAGCACTTTTACTTGTAACAGAGTATTTTTGCTAGCTTTACCCAAGTCAAGGATCTGAGTAGTTCTTCCACCACTAAATGTACCTTAAAGGGACACCTTAACAGAGGGGTTCTCTTGAGAGAACCATGTCAGGGCTTTGAAGCTGAATTTAGCTTAAAAAAAAAAAACAATCTTTTTTTAAGATCAATTTCTGCTGCTCCCACTTCCTGATTTCCCAAATTACGGGGTGAGCCGAGGGTCAAAATCACAGAATGTGCGTGAGTTAATCACGCCTAAAAAAGCTTTAAAAGGAATTTGCATTAAATCGTTATTAGCACATTAATTCTAACAACCCATATTGCATACATACATTAATTAATTCTGCTTTAGATTTAAGTTGAAAGGTTTGGGAACCACTGTTAAATGACAATCCATCCAACAATTATTGACATAATTTAGTCTGGATTCCATAATGCCTTTGTGGTAAAAGTTAAAGAACACTAATCTAAACACTGTAGAACTGATTGAGATTTTAATGGGTATTATACAGGTTTTGCGAAAATAAAAAACATTGAAACAAGAGGCAGGTGAGACCCCATTTCCAAACCAATACTACAAGAACATCAGCCAACAAAATGGATATTGCTATTACACTGTACCCAACAAATACTGAGCAAGGGTATTATAATGATATGACATAAAACTGCTTCTTGTCTAAATATATAAGAGCACCTAGGTTCGAAACCACGAGACGGTGTCACTTCTACTCTATCTGACGAGGGAGTTGGAGGTGCAGGGAATAAAACCCATTTTTAGTTTTTGGTCTGTGCCGTAATATGTACTCTATAATTCATCAAATAATAAAAAATCTTCTTAGATAAAATAAAAGGACAACTTATAATATTCTGTTCATGTGTCAAACCTACAAAAACTACTGACAGGTCAAGTTCATGACTACTGACAGTTCATTGTTTCTGGTAAATGCCCTGTGAATGCAAAGATACTGATGGGATATGAATGTGTAGTTTTGCAAATCCAAATATAGTTTCTTTTTTGGTTTCAAGTAAGAGCAAAAAATAATAATATTCATAATCAGTTTAAGTCTGGAGCAAGCAAGCATACCAACAAATATCTTATTTACAATATTATTGTATTTACATCAAAGGATAGTAAGTGAACGTGTGTTTAAATTCAAAGTTCATGTTAATTTGTGAAAAATGTAAGAGGGGGTACAACGCAAGGTTCTTTTCTTTAAAAAGTGCAATTCCTTTTCTTAAAGTAAAAAAAATATATATTCATATTTTGTATATATGTAGAAATGTTGTTCATATAAACAGCATTTGTTGATTCAGGAGCCCTAAAACAGTGCCTAAAAATGAAAGCTTTCTGTCGATAGGCAGCAAATTATTACAGAATATAAATTATTTCACAATACTCAATAGAAAATCAGAAGTACCGTGTTTCAACAAAAACAGACAACTATTGAAATGTTTTTTTTTTCTTTTAGAAGGGTATTTCTAGACTTATCTGCACTAAAGTGGGCAAGAATATTTACTATTTATCACATGTTTTGGTTGCAAAAATATTACTGGAAACAATGCTCAAACAACAAATAAACTTGCATCATAATATTAAAAAGTAACACTTCCATAAAATATCTAAGCGTAAATCAATAGTGAACCTGAAACAGCCTATGCAACCTCCATTACTTCAGGTTTGTAAAATACAAAAGCTAAACAAGCTGGTATACATGCGTACATGTTTGTACAGTATATGAATGCTTTTTCTTACCTGTGCTGCGCAAGCAATATTTCTTAAAAAGTACATCCTCTACACAGTTATAAAAAGCAAGCTGATATTAAAAGTAAATAGTGGTAAACTGGTGTCTCTTGTTTCCAGTGGTCTGCAGTGACACCTATGAGTGTACCAATATTTTGTGGCACCAAGAGTTTCATCACCTGCTCATGTTTCACCAGGCAGAACACATTACTTCCCTTCATATTCAAGTAGTGTTATGTGGCTATATTTGTACATCTTTGAATAGCTTATACCAAAATAAAATCCTTGGACAGCGTCAGGTGTCTGACCGAGGGCTCTGACATCACTGGAGAGATGTGTTCATCACCGAAGAAGGCTTTCTTAGTTTTACGTTCTTACGACATGCTACTTTCCAGTTCATTTTGTAAAATACATATATTTTCATAATAATATCGAATAGCATCATATCATATCATATTATATATGATCAAGTTTCCTCTACATGAACAACTTTGCACTTTGCTGAGTCTCTTTTCCCTCACAAGAGGTGCAACACATTCCTTAACCAGGCTTCTTTTATTTGAGTCTTTTTTCTCCTGTTGTGAATGTGCAGGTTTAGGATCCATTGGTGTTTTGTGTGGTCTGTCTTTGTATGTCTGTGTTTGCTTCCTTGGAATCTCCAGGAGCGCTGCTGTCAGCCTTCAGCGCCAGCTGGGTTTGCAGGTCTTTGACAGCACTCTCCAGGCTCTGCCGAGCTTCTCTCTCCTGCTGCAATTCCTGTCTCAGCTGCTCGCGATCGGCTTCTGCTTGTTGTAGCTGCACATGCAGCTCTTCAATCTGCGCAATACAACCAAACACAGACAGCAGTCGATGAATCCAAAAAACAAATAATGGACAGGATCAAAAATGTATCTTTTAGGAATTGTGGTTATCTGTCGAGACATGTTACCTGAGTAGAGTACTTGACCCGGAGATGCTCAGCCTCACAGCCTTTGTCACAAACTCGCAGCTGTCTCTCCCTCTCCAAGTCTCGTTTCAGCCGCACACAAGACTCCTCTGCGTCCCTCATCTTCCTCTCCCAATCCACACGAAGGCGTTCAATCTCCTTTCGCAGGTTGCGCTTGGCTTCAATGGCCTCACGAAGGCGACCTTTCTTAGCCACTTTCACAAACTCCAGTTCCTGTAAACATATAAGTCATCTCATCTTTAATACAATTATATTAACCAAGAGAGTCATTTCATTTTTATTATGTAGTATTCATAAAAACAAGCTGTGATACCTGCTGAAGGCTGCGTTTAGCTTGCACAGCAGCTGCCAGCTTCTCCTCCTGCTTAACTCTCATTCTGACAATCTCCTGCAGGAGTTTTTCCCTGGCTTCTTTGGTGTCCAGGCCCGCATACAACATCTGTCTGAGGGTGTCCATCTCTGGGCAAACGGGCCCTGACAGCCAGGCAGGTCCCTCCTGAGCTCGAGCAATGGTCTGAGGGGTCAGAGTCTGAGGCACACTGGTGCAAGCTGATGGAGGAGAAGCCATCGAGGAAGCTGGCACTGGATCTGAGGAAGACAGAGGTTTAATAAATAGTAGCACTGTGGCTGAATTGCAAGAGGATGACTGTGTTCATTCTCAAAGAATAGATGGGCTATCAGCACACCTCAAGAAATAAGAAATCATAAAAACTAACAGATTAGTGACATTCGCCGTATGTTTTCAGGTTTTAAAATGAATGTTTTCTTTGATAAAGCAGCGGTTCTCTTTAGCTATTTTCCTGTTTATGTATAACTTTCAGTTATTTCACTATTACTTTTAGCAGGCTGTTTCAACTATTTATCCATTAATTTTGAAATGTTTTTGAACTTTAACTGATTCATTTGAGCTATTTTTATTATGTTTTTTACTTTTAGCTGCTCCATTATTTCACCATTACTTTTAGGTAGCTGTTTCAAATGTTTAACCATTACTACTAAAGCTAAAGCTATAGCAATCCATTACAATAAAGCAGGTATTTGAAGAGTTTGTTTATTGTTTTAGCTCACTATTTCAACTATTTATACATTATGTTTTAGCTAGTTGATTGTTTATCCATTTCTTTGAGCTGTATTTAAACCATTCATCCATTACTTTGAGCTCAGTGTTTCAACTAGGTGCTATTTGGATGCTATAGCTGACTCAATATGTACATATATATTCATTAAATTAGTCCAACTGCTCACCAGTCTTTCCACATACCCCTTGGTAACTGCGTAAATACAGTACCTCTTGGTTACCACTGGTTGGAATCACAGCATCCATATAGAAGCTGTTTTAGAGTTGAATGTATCAGCTAGAAAACTAAGCATGAGCACTTTTTTCTACTGCTGCTCTTGTAAGACATTAGAAATAAACAATATATACTACAGTTGAAAAGAATAACTTTGTGTTGGCAGCAGGTGGTGTAGTTGCACAGAAATCACCCTGAACCAGTTCTACTATGGCTCACTCCCAGCCAGGCTCATTGTGTAATGAAAGTTGGAACATTAAAAATCTGATAGGCTGACTCTTGTAATGTTCAGTTGTTCTGGATTTTACAAACTCCAGATGAGGAGAGATACTCACAATCATCACAGTCATCCACATCAATCTCCCCATCTGTGTCCATGTTGTCGGCTCGGTTGGTGGTACTAGAAAGGACCAGCTTTGCCGCAGCTTGTATGTCTCCATTAGGCAGCTCTTGTGGTGACCTGGAAATGGTTGTGCACCCCCTGCCAGGAGTGTGACTGTCTCTGGGATGGACCGGAGGAGCCAGGGGAGCTAGTGTCAGATTGGGGGCTATCATCATCTCCTGATTCTTTAAGTAAGACCTGTGGAGGCAACAGAGATATATTTAAAGCATTTCATTGGTTATAAGTACAGTTTAATAAATACCATGTCTTTAAAACAGAAACTAACAGCTTTGCTCAGATTACTCACCTCTCCACCTCATTCTGGGTGGCTGGCTTCTCTTTTTCTGCTGCTTTGGGAGACCACGGGCGGAAAGCAGAGGGTCTCTGTTTCAGTTGGGCCTGTTTCAGATCCTGGAACAACAAACAAAGTAACAAACTTGGATGAACCCACAATAAACTACCACTAGCACATTAAATCAGCCATAAGGAACACATTCAAAGGCCCCTCTTTATTTAACATGGCCAAATGATGAGAGCTCATAACTACATGATAATGCTTTTACACCACATTTGACCTTTGTGCTTAACTGCGAATGCAGGTTCATGCTGACAACATGGCCACACAGCATACACACCTTGTGTGCAGACTTTGTCAGCGATTGTAACCAGTCAGGTTTCTTGTCTTTATCAGCTGATGGAGATTGTGATTTGTTGAATTTGGACCTTTTGGCTGGGACTGGGCTGGGGGACTGAGGAGAGAAGAGAGAATAGATGGTTAATCATCATCATCTGTGCAGGAAAAAATAGATATTACATTATGGAGTACAGCAGATATTTCATGAGGCCACAACTTCTAAAAATGATACTGTATGATTGTAAATGGCATTTTTCATGAGCAACACATGGATTTGTCAGAAGATGACTTTATGCAAAAGTGATAAAAAAAAAAATTTCAATCTTATAATACCTGCAGGAAAAGAGCAGACAGTCACAGAAAGGTAGAAAAAGAAAAGATGAAAAAGAAAACAGCAGAGAAGTCACAGAGAGGAAAAGAGGACAGAAAATGTGTCTGTGTTAACGTTCAGTCTCTGAACTTGGCATGTCTACATGTTCGTGTGTGTGTGAGCAGGGCTTTGAGCTAAGCAGACACTCAAGCTGGTCTGGCTGGCAGCCAGTAGGGCTACATTGCTCCCTGCCAGGCAGAAGAGGCGCCGTCAGGTGGAGCAGATCGACTCCCCGAACCACAGAAATATTGCAATATACAGACAGAAGGAGTCAGAGAAGGAGACGAATTAAGGTAATTGCACTCAGATCTTATAGACGTTCGAGTTAAAGTGTTCAGAGAGCATTGCATTTTAACTCAGGCCTGTGGGGTCATGTATCGCACTGAGCTTGGAAAGCCAAGGGAGAGAAGCATCTGACACAAAATACTGAATCTCAAGAGCCACAGATTGGATATATTGTATGTCTGTGTGTGTGGCAAGCTGCAGGCCCATGCAGTGAGATGGCTAACCTCCTTAGCCCTCAGGTCTGCACTTGTCAGACAGAGGATACTGTATGTTTACCTAGGCAGGCACAGAGCCAGCACAGACCTGCCTGCCGCTCTCTTACTCACTACTATGACATTCTGCCTCAAGGAACGGCAAATGCTCCCATCTCCTTGTCTGCGTGTGCGATTCAAGACAAATGTTTACTGTCTACCTTCAAAATTCTCAATGGAAAACACTCTTTGCGTGTGGTTGTGAAACCATAATAACTGCTCGCTGTAATCACCTCAAGGTGGAAATTAATGACAAACCTCATTTAGTATTACGTGAGAGGCCCGGCTGGTAATAAATCATGTCTCACAGCTTTTCTACACAATGTCAGATGCTGCGTGAGTGCATGCAGCTATGAGTGGGTGTCAGTGCGCGTGGGGGGGTGGGTGGTTGCGGGTGTAGACATGCATATGTGTGCGTGGGAAGGCTTGCATGTGTGTCTGGTACAGGGTGCTCATGGGTGGAGGTGTTAGTCAGGTCTGGCACTGTATACTTGAACTACAGAAACCAAATTGTGCCAAAGTTCTGAAAAAAAAAATGAGTTGACTAGTCAGGCTACAGAAAATTCTACAAATCAAAGTTTTAATGATAATTTATCAAGCAAAAACAAAAAAAGATTTAAGCTTCTCAAAAGTGAAAGATGACAACAAGACTGGTCTTTTTATTCTGAAATAGTTTTTGTGCAACATGACTATTGTGCAATTTATGCTCCTGTCCATAATTGCTGCCTTTATTTTTTGATCTTCATTAATCCATTTCATTATCAAGTATTTATCGGATTATATTTGCTTTCTCTTGTTAAACCTGCTGTCATATCAGATTTTTGGCATCTTGGGAGCAGTGGAAACAAGTGGCGAATACAACATTTATGTATTTTAAGATGAATCTGCAAACCTGTGGGAAAACCTTTGCATATTTACACACCCAACAGTTACAGAACAAGATAATCTTTCATTGGAAGCTGCTTTTGCATCCAGCTGGAAAATGTACATCAGTGTGAACAACTAAACAATGAGCTGAAACTTGCCTAAAAGCTTTGTAAAGCTGAGGGGAGCTGTGGATTCAGGTGATCATTCTCTGTGGGCTTCTCACTATGAGTAGCTCCTTTCACATTGCCACAATGTTTTCATATTCACTTGATACATTATTATTATTATAAAACTACCACGCTGTTTTAAAGCACTTTGATCAACATTTGTTGTGTTAAATTGGTGCTGTAAATACACTGACTCCCCTTAATTAAATAATTAATTTAAAAAATGATCAACTGATTAATCGGTAATAGAAATTAATCTTAGCTGCATTTCTCGTCTGCTGTCTAAATAATGTTTTGCCACCTTCTGCTTTCTATTCTGCCTCTTCAGCTGCAGGGTGTAAGCTGCATGAGGTGTATGTGCTGTGTTTGTCTGGACACTCCCCTTACATGTCCCTGACTCACAAATGTCTCCTCTACCTGTCTAACCAGTCATCACATTACACACACCCATTCACACACAGCACACTGTTTGGTTTTGCTACTGTAGGTTAATTCTTGTAACCCAGACCTCCTGCTGACTGCGTCCTGCTCAGTAATGGTGACTCGACCCCTCACCTGACTGACTCAAGGCTGGTGGTTTTTTTAAGAACTGCTGCCCTGGTGGAATCAGACTCTGTAATTACCGACATGACTGTTGTTTTCCTGACAAAGGATGTCTGCTCGTCAAATACTATTTCTACCCTGAGGTTTGCAGCTTCAGGAAGGCTATGAGCACTAGACATAATAGAGTCAGAAAACAGACACTCCCAGACACCACAAGGGACCTGCTGGCTAAATCTGACACTGACCTCACAGGAGAGCAGCCACACGGGCTTTACTCACCACCACATCATAGACATAGCATGGCCGCAGAGTCATAACACCCTTCTCACACAGCCTGCTGCCTCTCAGGTCCCACTGAGCCAGATGATAGGACATCCTTCCCTCCCTCTATCTCTCTCTCACCGCTAAGAGAGGGAGACTTCCTCTGAGGAGTTTGCTTTGGCTGAGTCCCCTGTGGGAACTGAGTCTTGAGTGGGAAGGGGGTGGGCCAGGGGAGCGGGACCACAGAGGAAGCACTGAGCTGAAGGAATGTATACTTGAAGGCCAAGTACAGCCTCCCCTTTAAGACTCCATTCAAGCATTGCCCTTTTCAACTCGCTATTGTATGATATTTCTTTGAGGCCCTGTAATGAGGGAGTGTTTCAAAGCAAACCTGTAGGCTAAACAGGGTCTAACAGCAGCTGGGCAAGAGTAGACATGCTTTATTTTTTAATTAGTGCCACATAATGGCATGGTAATACCAGGATAAGCCCCAATAATTTTCATGCTGGAACGGCAGATAATCACAGAGATACACAACACATCACAAACATATCAGTATCTGTTCTGAGAGCACTGCATTGGATCAGTTTGAAGAATAATTAGTCAGCATTGTACTCACTGGAACATGATCGAACTGTTATTTCACTTGAACATGGAGCTACTGACCACTGACAAAACCAAGACTAGAGTATAGTCTAACCATAAAAACATTCTCACAAACCTCTGATGCAGGTTAGATACCATCAGGATTTCTTTGCCCAGGTTTTAATATGTTTCCTGAGATTTCTCCATCCCAGCACAATGAAGATAAACAGACATTAATGTGTGCCTTTTAAACATCTAAATTTCCTCAGTATAAAGTACCTCCAATTGTAGCCAGAGACAAACAAGAAGGAGCTGGGGGAAAAGACATAGAAGAGGTAAAAGCTTGGGAAAGGGATGGAAATAATCAGGGTGGCTTAACCGGGTTACCACCTTGGCAGGTGGTAAGAAGAGCAGTTAAGGTGTGTCTGTTGCTCTCCATGTAGTTTATTACAACTTTATCTGCTTTTCATAGTTTTTGAGGAAACCAGCTAAATTGTAAACAAGCCAACAGTTCAGCCAGATTATGGAACAACATTTTGGGTAAACAAGAAAGCAGGCGCACATAATGTGTCACTGTGGAAGAAAAAGTGCAAAGGATCAAAGGTGAACAAGGGTATTGGTCTGTGAATATTTAGAATGGACACTTTGCATTTTAATGGTGTTTTCCAATTTTCTTAAACCTATCTGATCATCTGGCAACTGGTGTTATTACTTTTTATTTTTAGTCTTTCAGAGAGTTAGATGAGAAGACTGATACAATTCTCATCCCTGGAAGTATCTGAAGCTATAAACCATAGATAGCTATCTTATCTTATCTTAGTGTAAAGACCAGAAACAGAAGGAAGCAGCTAGACTAAGTAGGACTGCCTAAACAATGCTTTGGATTCATATTTACTTTATGGATCAAAATCTATAGTGTCTGCTGTGGTGCTAAAAAAAAAAAAAACAAAAATAACAAATAAAGCCCTCAAATTAAATTACTGAGAAACAAAACAATGTGGAGCACCTATCTAGTGAAGCAAAAATAGTTTCCCCAGCTGAACTTACTTGGGCAACAGTCATACAACACCACATGCTCCATGATAGCGTGGCATTAAGAAAAGTGCACGGCAACAAGACACAACAGTTTCAGATTACTGTTTCCTTTCCCCTCCTAAACCCCTGAATGTAATCCCCAGATCGACATGTGCTTAGTGGGGAGCTGTCTCACTCAAGGGCACACCAACTGGCACGGCTCGCTCGGGTAACAACCTTAGTTGGAAATGAGAGAATACTTGTTTTAGTAATCTGATCCCTGTAGCTTGGTGTGGACGGTCACAGGGATACCTCGAGCTCTCTATTCAACTCTCACTGCATATATTGTGCGGCAGTCCCTTGATTTATATAAAGCCCAGTGGTCACCTCATATAGGTTGGGAGGTGTCTGCCTAGAATATCCCCGAAACTTCATCCCTGTTCAACACAGATACAGTACAAAATCCCATTTCCCCTATTTAAATCTTATCTTAATTTATGGATTAATTCCATCTCTACTCTGTCCAGTTTGAGGATATATTATTAATGTAGCTGAACCATGACAGTACAGACACATACAGACAGGCTTGTCTTAAGATTGGCATTACAGTAAAGAAAGCTTATTGGATTGCCCTAATTGTCTCTTAGGATCGAGACCTGATGAGGTCTGAGGTTGATGCTGGATGAGCTGCAGGTCCTACTGGTAGAAAATATCCCATCAAGTCCACACAGTTCGATGTGTCCTGTAAGAACAGAGTGTTAAAACAGTCTTC